TCTTCTTGGCCTTGGCCACTCTGGGAGACAAACCCAATTTTATTTCATGCCAGAAGGGCCAGTTATGGCTGAGCTGGGCCTGGAAGACTTTGCTTAATCATTTTTGAATATAGCTTGAATGTCCAGTATTTCCCCAGGAAAAAGGAGTTACTATTTAATCAGTTTACGTCAAGGTAGAGATATTCACTTTTCTGAGTACAGAAAAGTTTGCAATGGTTAGGAAGATTTTCTGTTGATTATTCCATCCATCCATTCATATTTGAAGTGATTAATTTAAAAAATCACTGTCATTACTAACTACCAGAAAAAATACAACATTTTAATTAACCATGACAATATATTATGTGTCCCTAATTCAGATGTTATGGTGCTCACAGAAGTAGAACAGTGGAGTGCTTAGATAATTTCAGACTCTGAGCTGGGTAATCTTATGATGCCTTCGCCCCACTTTGGAATATGATATCTATTTACAGTAGAAAAGGAAAAGCTACACACAAAGATCTGTCTTTTTAAATGGCCACAATATTATGTTCAAGTATAGAAACAAATAAACCCACGGCTTAAGGATAAAGATAGAGAATAGGAGGAACAATTACTAAAACAGCAACAACACACAAACCTATTGACTTCAGGTAGTTTCATTTGAAAACCAATAAACCAAAAGTTTCCCTTAAGAGGTACAGCAGTTGTGTTTCACAGAACTGTAAGTAAAACCTACGTCATCAGCTAACATCTGCATAACCATTACAGCAAAATCCTGTATATCTCTATTTAGAAACAAGTCCTGCGTGTTTCAGTGGAGCTCATTCTTAGGTGAGTAGCTATAGGATTATAACCTCTAAGATGAATTAGGATACCTCCTTTAAAAAAAGGGGGGGGGGGATTTTCAATACCAGGTACAGGGAAGCAATGACTGAAATTACCAGTGAAGTTACTTGTGCCAGTTTGACTGGCAGGATTGACGGCTATGCTATAATAACCCCTGGCGTCTTCTAGGTGAGGCGTTTGCTCTGCAAAACATTCCTGCAAGGTCTCCAGTGTACTGAGAAGTTTACCTGCTGTGGAGATGAATAAGGCTTGGCCCAATACAGTGATGCGGACTGTAACAAAATGTCTGGCAGTAATGTGAATGGGAGTGTAACCACACTCCAATTTGCCCTGTGGCTTGTACTAGAACTGGCGCAGTTAAATTTGACGTATTTTCCATCGACTACAGCTAGTACAGCTAGTTGCAAATGAGCCTGATCTTGTTTCCTGGGCATTCGTTGCTTTTTGCTTCAGCTGGCAAGGGCTAATGCTTCTTTGTAGTGATTCTGCTTGCATGGCTTTCTTCAGTTTCTGGCATGTGTGATCATCACTTATGTCAGTCCAAGGGGACAGTGGCAGCTCTGTCCTAGGAAGGTTTTGACAGTAATGTGTGTGTGTGTGTTTTAGAAAAAGATAAATAAAATAGTGTTGAACTCATGTAACAACATGTGAAACCACAGTGCTTGTTTGATATGGCACTGAAGTGGAAAAGCAGAATTTTAAAAACTGCTCGAAAGAGAGACAAGAGGGTGCTCACTTGAGAAGGACACTCTTACTGGGCTAGCATACTTTCAGTATGGTGCTGCACACCAGTACGGTGGGAACATGACCTTCAAGTAGGTGCCTAGGGTCTCTCCTCTGAACAATTGTTTAAATTATCTGCTTGTTTGATATGGCACTGAAGTGGAAAAGCAGAATTTTAAAAACTGCTCGAAAGAGAGACAAGAGGGTGCTCACTTGAGAAGGACACTCTTACTGGGCTAGCATACTTTCAGTATGGTGCTGCACACCAGTACGGTGGGAACATGACCTTCAAGTAGGTGCCTAGGGTCTCTCCTATGAACAATTCTTTAAATTATCCATTTCCAATTTAGTGCTATGTCAGATAAGGACTGCGGTTTCACAAATGATATCAATTCAGCACTACATCACTTGCTAATTTTGTTTTTATAAAAAAAGAAAAACAGAAGTAAGGAAAGAGGGTGATGTTAATGACAGAGAAGGGTGGCCAGCCTGTGATCCTGATGAGAATTATAGTGATTTGAGTTGTGGTATGGACATTTGTTCTAAAAATTGCCCAAGATAATTAAATATTCCATGTGAATGACAACAGTGATTTAACTGGCATAGGAAACTTTGAATCAATCCAAATCAGCCAGGAGCAGGGACTCTATCTAGTCACACCCTGTGTTTGCTCTTCTGGATCGTCCAAGAAATGATAGAGCACTGTGACACTTTTCAGTCCATTTCTAAGGTCAATCGTACTGTTTCGCTTTTGTTTTGTTACTTTGATTTCTTTTTCTTGTTCCCTGTCCAATGGCAAATGTGAAATTGGCAAGGTGAACTGGAAAAGAGGAGCCATGCTGGTGATCAGGGAGAAAACCCCCCTTTCCCCAATTCCTCTCATTTAACTCTAGGATTTCTGTGTGTGTGTGTGTGTGTGTGTGTGTGTGTGTGTGTGTGTGTGTGTGTGTGTGTGTGTGTGTGTGTGT